GCCGAGCTTTCTATCAGGAAGTACAACTCATTGCTGCTGCTCATCATGGATCTATTAAAAATAACTGGAGGGTGTTGCTGCTTCCGCCTCCAGTTGATGTAGTGACACTCACTGGAACTTCAGTGAAAAAATCCTCTGGGCTGAGACAGGATTTTTCTCACAGTGTAATGTAATCACAAACTGCTTGTGTTCAGCTGACAGGGACCTACAACTTTCAATAATGTCGGATTTTGTGGCGATTTTTTGTTATTTTTAAATAATAAACATATTCTCAGCTCAAAACCCTTCAGTTGTCTTAAAAAACACTTTATAATCGTTAGTTCTGGCTCTGCTTTGCTCCGCTGTAGCTCGTCTCGCTCTGATTGGTCAAAGTGATCATGTGATACATGAGGCCGCGCTCTGTGCGTGCGTTTGTGTGCTTTGATGTGTGCCCATGGGAGAAAAGAGCAATACTGCACGTGCTCAATCGGCCCAGAGCCACTCGAAGCACCTCACGGTCATTTTGAAACCCCGGGTCTTCCCTTGCATGCAACTTTGCATTCTTCAAATGCAAGGTTGGTTTTACTTCTACAATTATTCTCTTGATACAGACATTCACATGGACAGTCTGGTGTAATAATAGATTTTCTTCAGATGTTTTGTGGAGTGGGTAAGACTGTTTTTAGTGGCAGGATAACTATGGCCATTGACATGCACTAGCCTAGCACCAGCGACCTCTGCAAATACAAGGACTGGATGGAATATTTCAAAAAGTGCACACCACACACACTGGGAGAATCTTATGAGATTTTAAATCTTCAATTATGTGCTACATGGATAGAAACAGACACATGTGATCTTTCAGCCTTCTCTAAACTGTTTTGTACATTTATTTATTTATTTATTTATTTTATCTGTATTGTTGTTTACAGAGAACAAACTGTGAAATACCAATTTACTACATCCGTACTAAATAACTTATTAAAAGAAGAATGCAAAACTAAACCAAAAATCTGCATATGAGTCTTAAAGTCCTCCTCCGTGTTGCCTCCAGGAGAGTTGGGTGTATTTTTGGAGGTGTGATATTATTTGGCAGGAAAAGCTTTGTGTAAACAGACAGGACAGTCCCCGGTCTCTGCAGGAGGAGGACAGAGCGCTGAGAAGGCAGAAGGTCCACAAACTCACCACAAACTCACCACAAAACGCAACACTACACACATATGGCAGCGAGAGTGGAGAGAGATGTACTGAAAATGGTGCTGAATCGGAGAAACACGCAGTATACCATCTCTATTGTTGGAATATTCAGCTGTTACCATAGCGACACGATGCATACACTTGTCATTTTACGCATGAGACCTTTTAACAGCACAAACCAGATAATACTCCCTACAACTGTACAACACTTCAGCTTTATGAAATATAATACTCCCTACAACTGTACAACAACTCACCTTTATGTAACAGATAATACTCCCTACAACTGTACAACAACCAACTCACCCTTATGTCACAGATAATACTCCCTACAACTGTACAACAACTCACCTTTATGTAACAGATAATACTCCCTACAACTGTACAACAACCAACTCACCCTTATGTCACAGATAATACTCCCTACAACTGTACAACATTCACCCTGATGTCACAGATAATACTCCCTACAACTGTACAACAACTCACCTTTATGTAACAGATAATACTCCCTACAACTGTACAACAACTCACCTTTATGTAACAGATAATACTCCCTACAACTGTACAACAACTCACCCTTATGTAACAGATAATACTCCCTACAACTGTACAACAACCAACTCACCCTTATGTCACAGATAATACTCCCTACAACTGTACAACAACTCACCCTTATGTAACAGATAATACTCCCTACAACTGTACAACAACTCACCCTTATGTAACAGATAATACTCCCTACAACTGTACAACAAGTCACCCTGACCCTGAGATTTTTATTACTTGTTTTTCTATTTTATTTAGAATTGTACACGTACATTTATATAATTATGTGTTATTTCACACCTGCCTCTTGCTATTTCTTTTTTTCCCCCACTTACTTAGGATGTATTATTACATTTTTATTTTTTACTCTTTGATATTATAATATATTGTGATGTGTGAGCTCCTGTGTCCATGTAATTTCCCTTATGGATCAATAAAGTTTGTCTAAATCTAAGTCTAAATCTAAGTTCGCTTCACACCCACAGGAAAGACAAAAACAATACTATCTCCATGGAGACAAGGAGTTGGTAGACCCCAGAAGTGATTAAAGTCGATTTCTGAGCCACTGACACTGCCCTCTTCTGGACAAATTTGCAATAACAATCATTTTGAAACCACAATTACTTAAGTTCCTGTTAATGAGGCTTTTTCTGGCTCATTTAACCCCGGAGGCATTAAGAGTTTGAGAGTGCAAAACATGAACACGTATACATCAAAAACTTTAACTGCTTGATTATAACTATTACTGTTACTACTACAGACAGCTTTAAAGATGGATTATGTAACTTTTCTGGTGCAGGGTCCGTCAAATGTTTTTCTACATCATTACATCATTGCTCTGTCTTAAATGTTCCACAGTATGACATTAAACTTCTCTACCTTACATTTATTAAATTACATGTGGTTAAACAGCTTAAAACAAAAACTTAACAATACAAACAAAAAAAACACATTCTGACTGTGAGTGGGGTCGCCTCACTACAGATCTAACTTGTTACTTGGTTTGGTTTGGTCTCCATGAAGATAGAAAGGTTTAATGTCACCATGGAGAAAAGCATTTGACGGACCCTCCACCAGAAAAGTTACACAATGCACCTTTAAACATTTGTGAATCAATGTTGGTAGTAATTTTTCTGTGTAGCTGATACTGTCCCTGCAACTACAACCACTTCTATGCTGTAAGAAATAAATAAATTTTAAAAAATCACTTTTCAATTGCAATGACGAGTCTGCAACAGTAGGTGGCAGCAATGTACATAGAATATCTTTGTACCAAGCAGAGTTTCAAACTGTGAAGAAAATATGGTAAGAAATTGTACTAGTAGGGTCAGTCCATATGAAATCAGCCGCCCTCCCCTATGAGCCATCTCAGATTTGGCTGAAAATTTTTCAAAAAAATTCAAAAATGACCAAATGAAATAATCTCAAATTTTAGCTCAATCCCTTAAGTCGTTCCTGAGTGAAAATTTTGGGGCCATGCTCACTTTTTCTGAAGCCTTAATTTATAAGCATGTTTGAGAGACCATAACTTCATAAAAAATAGAGCTAGGAAGATGAATAACTTCCAACTGTCTTCCCTTATAACAAGCAAATAGTTTTTAAGGCTGTTAAAGGTAACTGAACCTTTCTAGCAGGTGGAAAAATACCTAAGCTTCACCAAAAATGACCCATGAGAGCTCATTTTCAAAAATTCAGTTTGAAATGATATTGTTAATGTTAATAGTAGATGTTTTTATTACTTTAAACCACGGGTGTCAAACATACAGCCCTCCAAGACTTTTAATCTGGCCCTCGGCAGATTTTCTACTAAAATGTTTTAATTATATTTTCTATTAAAATATTGGTAATTTTCTGCAGTGCTTATCACAGCAGCGTCTCCAGCGTCTCTGTACGTGGCCCCTCCCACCAGAGCAGCACAAATAAAGACTTGCCTCTTTTCAAACGCTCTTAAAGGACGATCGTTTTGACTGTTGACCGTGACACCCTCATCAACAAAATGTCCAACATGAGAAAAGTGGAGCCGAGTGCAGGATTTTACAAGAAAAATTGACTTTTTCCTATTTGTAAACAAGTTCATGTTAAAACATTGTGTTGAAATTGTATTTTTCTTAAAGTTTCAGGTTGTTCATAATATTATAATATTTTGTAAAAGAAAGAGTTCATCAATTAAAAAAGATTTCTGCAACAGATTTGTGTTTCTCTGCACAAATATTTGAACTTATTGTTATTTTTGGGGTTTATATGCCATGAGTTTTCTGATCCGGCCCCTTTGGGATCAAAGTAGTTTGGATACGGTCCCTGGACCAAAATGAGTTTGACACCCCTGCTTTAAACTAATCAGAATATGCCAAAGTTTCTCTGGTAAAAAAAAATCTAACTGTGCCCACATGGGGAACCCAGGGTCCAAAGAAGGGGCCAAAAAGATCACATTTGGTCTGTGGTCATATTTGGGACGCTACACCATCCACACGAAAGCTCAGAAAAGTGTGAGATCTGTGTCAGAAATTGTCATTCTCTCAAATATTCAGGTAAATAGATCTTGGACTCAAAAAAATAAAAAATTCTGCGGCAACCAAACGTGAGATTTTGGGGGCACACAGCACCCCTCTTAATAAAGATATCCAATATTTGACGACAGATTCAGAATCTATGACCAAGAATCTACAATAATACAGTACAATAATAATTTTCAGCTTCCTAGCTGTATTTTTTATAAAATTCTGGTCTCTCAAACATGCTTATAAATTAGGGCTTCTGAAAAAGTGAGCATGGTCCCAAAATTTCCACAGGCCATAACTCAGGAACGACTGAAGGGATTGAGCTAAAATTTGAGATTCTTTCATTTGGTGGTTTTAGAAATTTTTTAGAATTTTTTCAGTGAAATCTGAGACAGCTCATAGGGGAGATTCCTTGAAAACAGCTGATTTCAGACTGACCCAGTATATAATCGCGAATCGTCATTAAACAAAAATCTCATACTAGCAATGTCTTGAATGATCTCTTGAAAATGCCTCAATCATCAAATGAAAATCCCAAATTATATGTGGGAAGAAAATAGACAACCATTTGCTAAAAATATATACAAGAATGTTTAAACAAATAATCCACTGGACGCCAAAAAAACAATGATATCCAAGCCTCTACATTCAGTTCAATTCGCCACAAAAACTTGCAAATCCAGCCAAGAAACACGTAATTCTGCCCTTTCCTATAAAATGACTCACATATCCATAGACACATACATAAAAATAGTAGTACTGCATATGAGTACTTACCCTCCGGTTTGTACTGGGCCACTATAGTGACCGTGTGCCCAGCGTTCTTCAGAGCTGCAGCTGCCTGTTCATGAGTGGCACTGGACAGATCCACGCCGTTCACCTGGAAACACAATGGCAGCGTATCATTTAAAGGTGCATTGTGTAACTTTTCTGGTAGAGGGTATGGAAACACAGTTATTGCTTTGTCTGGAATGTTTCAAAGTATGGCATTAAACCTTTCTATCTTCGGAATTCCAGTTTTTTCGAGGTATTTTGAGCTATAAAACCACCTGTAATTGAATAAATGAAAGGTAGAGCTGTTTAATGTCATACTGTGGAACATTCCAGACAAATTAATAACATCTCCATGACAAGCACGTGACCCATCCAAGCATCCCTCAGAAAAGCTTTGCACCTTTGCACCTTTAACGTTCACCAAATTGAATATAGGCTCACAGGATTCATTCAGGATTATCAGGGTTCAATAGTGAAAATAGATACAAGATTTTGATTTTGTAAATTTAAACCTGTGATTAAATGAATTTTAAAGGGACAGAATTTTGGACATAGGACCTCATTTCCTAGTGAGCCAGAGTGTCGGAGACGTGTGGAGACACTTTTTAAAATATTCCATCCAGTCCTTGTATTTGCAGAGGTCACTGGTGCTAGGCTAGTGCATGTCAATGGCCATAGTTATCCTGCTACTAAAAACAGTCTTACCCACTCCACAAAACACCCAAAACAAATCTATTATTACACCAGACTGTCCATGTGAATGTCTGTGTTGATAGAATCATGTTTGAAATAAAACTAACCTTGCGTCGTATGAATTGTCGCATGTTGAGGGACTATTTTCTCAGCAGCAGCGTAATTTTACTTTGCTGGTAAAATTTGCATGGATCTATTAAAATAAATGGGGGGTGTTGCTGCTTGTGCCTCCAGTTGATGCAGTGACACTCACTGGAACTTCAGTGAAAAAATGCCCTGGGCTGAGACAGAATTTTTCTCATAGAGCACAATGTAATCACAAACTGCTTGTGTTCGGCTGACAGGGACCTATGACTTTCAATAATGTCAGATTTTGTGGCGGTTTTTAGTTATTTTCAAATAATAAACTTATTCCCAGCTCAAAATCCTTCAGTTGTCTTAAACGATTTATAATCGTTAGTTCTGGCTCTGCTTTGCTCCACTCTAGCTCCTCTCGCTCTGATTGGTCAAAGTGATCATGTGATACATGAAACTCTGTGCATGCCTTTGTGTGATTTGATGTGTGCCCACGGGAGAAAAGATCATTACTGCACATACTCAGTCGGCCCAGAGCCACTCGATGCACCTCGCGGCCATTTTGAAACCCTGGGTCTTGGCGGCTGCTCAGACATGAATCCTTCAAATGCAAGGTTGGTTTTACTTCTACAATTATTTTCTTGACACAGACATTCACATGGACAGTCTGGTGTAATAATAGATTTGCTTCGGGTGTTTTGTGGAGTGTGTAAGACTGTTTTTAGTAGCAGGATAACTATGGCCATTGACATGCACTAGCCTTGCACCAGCGACCTCTGCAAATACAAGGACTGGATGGAATATTTTAAAAAGTGCACACCACACACACTAGGAGAATCTTATGAGATTAAATCTCCGATTATGCACTACATGGAGAGAAACAAACATATGTGATCTTTCAGCCTTCTCTAAACTGTTTTGTACATTTATCTATTTATTTATTTTATCAGTATTGTTGTTTACAGAGAACAAACTGCTGAGAAAATAGTCCCTCAACATGCGATGATTCATGCGTTGCAGGGTTAGTTTTATTTCAAACATTATTCTATCAACACAGACATTTACATTGACAGTCTGATGACTTTAAGTGTGTTTTAAACTGTAAATGAGTAGTTCAACCTGTCATAGGCACTTTAACTTGCAATAGTTATAGAAAGATCTTAAATTTTTGTCCATGGTCACAGTCCTGGTTGTGTTGTGGACGTACTGAGAGGATGCGATCTCCTTTGCGCAGTTCTCCACAGAGGTCGGCTGGTCCTCCCGCCAGAATGAAGGAGATGAAGATGCCCTCCCCGTCCTCTCCTCCCACGATGTTAAAGCCCAGACCAGTTGAGCCACGCTGAAGAACCACACGCCGAGGGTCTCTGCGAGGGACACAAGGACACACAGACAACATACAAGCAGGTTTACTCACTGCTTTTGGAATACATGGATTATATAGATACAAATCAAACAGAAAGTAATATCTTTAAAGGTGCATTGAATATATATTATATATATATATATATATATATATATATATATATATATATATATATATAATATATATACACTGGAAGAGTGGCTTCAACAGATACCGGGAAAAACAACGGACATCTCAGTCCAGAAAAGTGCAGTACTGGGAACAGCAAAGATACTGCGCAGAACTCTCAAGCTCCCAGGCCTCTGGTAGACGACCCGAGCTCAATGAGGGTGAGAGACCAACCACCGTGGAAGGTGAGAAACACATTTTTTTTTTTTTTTTTTAATATATATATATAGTGTTTTTCAGACTATAAGTGGCACTTGTTTTCATGGTTTGGGTGTTTCCTGCGACTTATATATAAAAATGTTCACACTGACAGCTGTGAGAGGCTCTAGATTTGTGTGTGTGTCAGTATCTGCTGCTCTTGTTCCTCCTGTACCTCTGTCATTCCACCCTTTACTGCGCATGTCTTCTGCAGAAAACATGGCTGTCCTGCTGCAAGTCGTGAAATCTGCAGCCAAAAATGGTAATCAAGCAGCAGAAAGAAAGTTTGGAGTGAGTGAAAAACTTGTGAGGGACTGACGAAAGTGGGGATGGAAAACACAGCTTCACGGCAGCCGGGAGGGTGCACCATGCAACTTTCCTGGAAGTCACTGGATGAATCGACAAAGCCTGAACTTCAGTGACACCGAAACCATCCTGTCGGGATCTAGAAAGACTGGAATAATTCTAACTGGAACTGATGCTGAGTCTGACGACAGCGACACAGTTTGGTAAACTTGTTCTGTTCTGTTGTTTCTGTTATAGTTTATCTGAAGAACTGTTCATATGTGACGTTAACAGTCTGTTCTTCTCTGTTCTGTTGTTATTACTAGAACTTGACTTTTAAGAAGAAATGTCTGTTCCTGGTCTCTGATTTTATAAAAGAAATTTCCCCTAAAAAGTGCGACTTATATATGTTTTTTTCTTCTTCATTACGCATTTTTTGGCTGGTGTAACTTATACTCTGGAGCGACATATAGTCCAAAAAATACGGTATATGACATTGTAGTTTAGTATTAACGCAATGCTGGTGGAAGATTGCCCAAAATCTGTCACAGTTAATGTCAAATTCAATTAAGGAATAGACTTGATGCTGATTCTGATGCCATAATGATAATAAAAACACTCTCTATTTAGACAATAGAATGTAATTTTCAACATTAAATTACAGTCTCATGGGAGGGACAGTGGATTGGTTTCATTGAGAGAAATGAACAGCAAACGTCAAAGGAAACACCGGGATTTACGTGAGACTTTTCATAATCGTCGAGCAGGGATTGGACAAAGCTCGCATGACAGCGCACGCTAACCACGCTCTGTTACACGCGGTGACGCCACGCGAGCTGCGAGTGGCGTGGAAGTCTGTGTAATCCCTCCATTAAAGTAGATTACAGATGGAGGAGCCGCTCGCGATGGTGACCCCAGTTTACACGGTACAGAACATTCATGAGGCCATCTGCGATCCACTGTCCCTCTGCTCCTCTCCGACCAAACCAGAAGGGAGCAAAATATGTTCAGGGCCAGGGTCACGAACACAAACCAGGAAAGACCAGGGAATACCATGAAAACCAGGGAATCAGGGAATCATGGAATCAAGTGTTCTCAAAAAAGAAGTGGTTTTATCTCCTATTAAAATATAAACAATACCAATATCCATGGGTTTTGGATTAATAAAGCATCCAGAGTGAGTGTTGTTACCTGGAGATGTCTTCGTCGGCGGTCACGGAGCGAGGCAGAGGGGAGTATCTGGGCGTGGTCAGGGGGGCGGGGCTTACGGACTGACTGCCGCTCATGTACGGACTGTGCACGTGATTGTCCTGGTGCGGAGAGTACGCTGTAATACAAAACACAAAATTACAAACAGGTTCAGTAACAAAAATACTACTACTATGACTCCACGCATGTGTTTAAAGGTTCACTGTGTAGCTTTTCTGGTACGGGGTCTGTTCTGTTTTGTCTTTGTGGAGATTATGTTGCTTTAAATGTTCCGCAGTTCGGCATTAAACACATCTAATTAGCATTTATTCAATTTCAAGTGTTATAATTGCTCAAAAGTACCACAGGAACCATGCATTTTCACTGTGAGAAGGGTCGCCGTTCCACAGATCTGACCTGCAACTTGGCAGTGTTACTTGCTTGTTTCCATGGAAATGTTTAAAGAAATATTTAATGCTGTTCTGTGAAACATGCCAGGCAAAGCAGCATCTTTGTGAAAACAAGCAGGTGACGGGCACTCCAGAAAAGTTCTCTCTCTATATCTATATTGCATTAGATACTTTTTCCAACTGTTCATTTATTTATTTATTTATTTATTTGATTGGGACAGAGCATGTTAATGGATCGGATTGTAGACTAAGGCTAATTTCCATCCGTTGTCCCAAGGGGCTGGGATCACAGGGGGTCAAACTATAAAATATTGCACAGTCCAAAACATTACACAGTCCAGTTATTGCACAATTCTCATGATTTTGCAGCCAATTTGGTGATACATTCAGTAAATGCAAATATGTGTCCATAGAAGATCAATTAAAATCATAATGCAGCTCTACATGACTACATGTTTGGTTTGACCATAACCAGTTTTTCATTTGAGCTTTAAATGAGCTGTATGCAGGACATTCTTATCAGTGTTAGTGGAAGACTGTTCCACTAACACTTGGACAGATGAAACATTCTGACCAAAGGTGGTCCGTCTGTGGGGTATGACCAGGTCTCCCCTGGTGGTGGCTCGAGTGGTTCTTTCTCAAATGCTTTTGGGTTTGATGTACTCCTTTAATGGTGGTGGTGGTGCGAGGGAGTGTATGACCTTATAAATTAAAGCCATAATGTTAACAAATGCATTCCCTTTAAAGGTTGTATATTACACAAAATAGACTCTTGTGAGCTTTAAGACGTGTTAATATTAGATAGATAGTTTATCATTTGAAGACAGTTTGGGCCCAAAACATGACAGAGCCAAAAATTAGATTTTTCGTTAGGTCCGGCGTTGATGTTGCAGCTCAAATTTGACAAAATTATAAAATTGCTCAAAACTTGCTGTTACCTCCTCAAACACATACTCTGATCTGTGTTTTGTTTCATTCACTGTTACGGCCCCAGACCTTCAGTTCTAATTTGTTTTGTGTGCTTTAATTGATTTTGCTGGCATGCCTGGATTCCTGCTGTGGGAGCCCTGGTGGAGTACTTCTTCACCTGGCCAATCCTGCCTCACCTCCAGCCTCCTCCCCCTGTTTAAGAAGATTACAGCACCTGTTGGGGGTTGCTGGTCTTGGTGGCCAGTCTGCTGTTTTGTGTTTGTGTCTTTCTCGTTCATGTCAGTCACTTGTGTTGTACTAGTACGTGTCTGACTTTGTTGGTTTTGTTGAGACAATAGTTCAATTCTGTTTGGTGCCTTTTTTTAATTTTGTCACTTGACTCTGTTTGTGGGTTTATGTGGTTTTACTTTGGGGAACTTGTGTTTTAGTTTTATGTGTCCCTCAGTTTAACCTCGTTTTTGTATAAGCCTGCGTCACCCATTTTATGGCACAAAACTGTAATTCTGTTGTTTTACTTCTTAGTTTAGGTTATTTTCTGTATATATATTTTAGTCTGTTTTGTTATTTTATTTTTTCATTGCACTGGGTTGCAACATTCACACATGTTTGAGTAACCCTGCATTATTGGGCTGTGTACATCTCCAAAGCTCAAAACACTCTATTGCACCTTGTGATGTCATGAAGCGGTAGTTTTCATGTTAACAGCTCCTTTTCGCTGCTCAGACTGGTAAGAGTTTGTTATGACGACGCAATGAAAAAGTGAGGCTGTCTTACAAAAAATGTCATTAAAAAAACATTTCTAAAATAAAAGCAATGCAGCTTTAGTCCATGCATGAGGTCACATGATAAAATCTGTTTATTTTGTAATTCCAAATTATCTAATTGAGCCAGTTAGAGTCAACCAAAGGGCGTTTGTGGCCCTGGAGCTGTACACAAGCCCTGGGTTTTCAAAATGGCCGACCATTCAAGTCAGTGGGCCAAGCTCAGTGGTGCATGACTCCAGATTCGCCTTTAGCCCAGCGAGGTACTTCCAGTGGCTGTGGGCTGATTGAGCATGTGCAGTAGTGCTCTTTGCTCCCACTGGTGCACACAAATGCACACGAGTGCATGCACAGAACGCGGTCTTGTGTATCATGTGATCGCTTTGACCAATCAGAGCGGAGCCGGGGCTAATGATTATAAAGCGTTTTTTAAGACAACTGAAGGGTTTTGAGCTGAGAAATAGTTTATGCTCTAAAAATAGGTGAAAATCGCCACAAAATCTGACATTTTTGAAAGTTGTAGGTCCCTGTCAGCCGAACACGAGCAGTTTGTGATTACATTATGCTCTATGAGAAAAATTTGTGACGGGCAAATGAGTCGGAGCTCTGGAGCACGTCTCGTTCTTTCTGAAACAAATTGCTCTGAAGCACTGCCTCGGAGCTCGTCTCACAGCAGCCGCTCACGTGACCAAAGTGTGGAAGTGTCGGTCCCTCCTCCTACTGCTTCACTCTGCGTGTCAATCGCTTCAGTGTATCGAAGCGTTTCATTGGCTCAGAGAATGTTCTGCTCTGTGATTGGTTCAGAGTGTTTCAGAGTGTTCAGTGTACTTCTGTGGTTTGACAAGCGCTAAACTGCTACAGTATAAAAGATGCACCAATATTTGTTAAAAATGTTGGGTAGTGAGGAGTATTGTGTGATGTTAGTGGTGACTTTTGGGGACTTTTGGCATTTGTTTCATTTTCGATGGCATCTACAAGTGGAAAAAAGCGATCCATGGTTTGGGATCACTTTGATCTAATTCCACCTAACAAGGTAACACCTATTTTCTTATTTACATATTATTTTAAATCATCATCATTATTGTTGTTGTTGGTACATGTTTTTTGGTTTTTCTGTTTCATTTAGTGTACCCTGTTTGGTTAGCCTACTTTTCCTTATACTGTTAGCCACTCTGTTTAGAGCCTCTTTTTGTTAATTCTTGAAAAAAATCATTGTTTTGTTAGTTTTACCTTACAATTCTGTTAAATAAATCACAACTTTAGTTTTACCATTTTACAATCTTGGTTATTTTGTTACTTCCCCCTGTCCCTAGCAGAGCTGGGTCGTAACACGAGGCTCCATTCGCCCATCACTAAGAATAATCCTGTCTCAGCCCAGGGCTTTTTTCCCCGCTGAATGACCAGTGAGTGTCACTACATCAATTGGAGGCAAGCAGCTACAAGCAGCAAAACCCTCCAGTTATTTTAATAGATCCATGGCTGTACAATGCCCAAGTCTGGTGAATAGAGTGAAGGTGTACACATTGGAGCACTTCCTGTATTACCACATGACATTACAATGTGGAATACTGTGTTTTCTGTTTGACAAAAGAAGAATAGATAAGAAAATAGCATCATATGGGCCCTTTTAAGATGCCCTTTACCTCTCCCTACATTGTTTCATTCTGGTATTTCTGCTTTTCTGTTATATTTTTATCCTTGTTAATATATTGTGATGTGTGAGCTACTGTGTCCACATAATTTCCCTTGTGGATCAGAAAAGTTTGTCTAAGTCTAAGTTTGTGTAATATAACAATTGGCCAGCAAAACAAGAGAAGTTCAGATGCATAAACACAGTAATACACAGTAAGTTTTAAGTGCAGTAGTTTTCTTACAGTTGGTGACGTCCGGTGGGGGGAAGTTGTCGTTGATGAAAAGTGAAGTGTGTTTGGAGACTCTGAGATAAACCACGTCTGGAGTGGACTTGAGAGCTGCTACTGCCTCCTCATGGCTCACCTCCTCCAGACACGTCCCATTCACCTGCACAGTGTTCACAATACAATACAGACTTTGGTCACAATAACAGTACAACCTGTGTTTATGGGTGTGTTTACATTTGTCCTGCTTTTAATCCAGTTTTGTTCTGATGTAGGTTTTGGCCGTGGTATAAACTGCTATAAATCATCTTTTCAAGATATCCAAAGACGCTTTAGATCAGGAGACAAACATAAACAAAGAGAAGGTAAAGTGGTTTTGTCCTGGTTTATTCGTGATCAGGTTCAGGTTTAGTCTTGGGTTTAGTCTCAGTTTAGAACCAATTTTGTGTGAGTTCATCCAAAGAGAATAAACTTTGTTGTTTAGTTTTTTTCCTCAAATTGTCTAAAATGAATGTGTTTCCTTCTGCTTGTGTCTCCATGAATAAAGTTGTTAAATTAAAAAACATCGTCATGGAGACAAGCAGGTAATGAGCCCTCCTCCAGAAAAGTCCCCTTTAATTAAATATGTCATATATTATATGTATAAAATTATTTATTAAAGTATCATTATCATAAAGTTGCATTATCACAATACTCAACATACTCATGTATAATGTTATTTTTTTGAATTAAATATGAAACGTATAATTATAATATAATAACTTAAATGTTCCTATATTACGCAAAATGTCTTGTGAGCTTTAAGCCTTCTTATACATGTTGTTGTCTCCTCAAAAACAGATCTGGAGTATTGTTTTGTTTCATTCACACGTTTGAGTAAACCTTTATTATTATCTGTCTACATCTTAAACTCAAAATGCTCTGTTCCACTTTGTGATGTCATGGAGTGTTAGTTTCACAGCTTCTTTTACCTTTTGTTCAGTAGAGATTGGCAATTCCAGAGCTGAAAATATTCTAATGATTCTAGTGAAGGTGTATGGAGTTAAAAAAACAAGGTGTATGGAGTTAAAAAACACAGTGGAGCACTTCTTATATCATATGCTATATACCACATGACATCACAAGGTGGAAAAGAGTGTTTTCAGCAAAAAACTCAGCCTAAATATAGGATCAGGATTTGTGTGAATGAAACAAAACACAAGTGCAAAACTCCAGGTCTGTTTGTGATGAGGAAACATTATCACATAGGTTAGAAAACAGTGTAATATGGACGCATTAAAGCTCTTATTTGTTTGAGTAGCTGATTTAAAAATCATGTCAGTGTCGTGTGAGTGAGTGTAAGTTTCTCACAGCAATAAGTTTGTCCCCTATCTGTAGCCGTCCGTCTTTGTGCGCTGCTCCTCCCTCGATCACTTTGGTCACGTAGATGCTGTTGTCACCGGGAACGTGCTGGTTTCCCACTCCACCTGCGATACTGAAGCCCAGACCTACAAACATACACAAACACTATTATAAAGAAACAAAACTGTACCATAACTACTAATACAAATAAATGAGACAAAGTTACAGTTTAATAATTCTAATTCTGACTTGGTTTGGTGAGATTGTACCCCTGCCAACAGTAAAAATAGTCATTCATTTAAGTCATTTATGTCAAATACAGAAAAGCTGCTTAAAAACGACCAAAACAAAGAAAATGTGACTATACTGACTCACATGTTGGTCGTAAATAAGTCGTTTTATTATTATCAGCCGCCACAAATGTTGGTGTTCCAGTTTTTGATATTGAAAATCCGGTCACCCGAGTCCAGGGGTCTCCAACCGAGCCACTGGTAGCTCTCCACCCCCTTCCAAATAGCTCGCCCAGGGATTTCTGAATTACACGTATTATGCTGCGTAAGTTTAATTTGTTTAATTAAATGCCTATTACCATTGTGCATGTATCATTTTGAAGCCTAACTCAAAATGATACATGCAAGATAAAGGTTTATGTTTTATTGGCATCTGACTGTACCTCATCTAAGGTCGTGGCTCTTATATTTACTCAGTTTCTTGCGACCGCTAAAATTTGTCACTCTCTGGCATTTTAAATTTGCCCCAAAAAAAGGTTGGAGATCCCTGCCCCAGTGGAAAATTATAGTTGTTAAGTAACAGTTTAGGAATTACTTTAAATACTATTACTTAATTAAATGAAACACTAGAAAAAAATCTGTAACATCCTAAATATAATTCTGCCAACTTTGTTTTAATGAAATGTGTAGTCTTAAAAGTCATATGCATAAACTAAATGCGTAATGTGTAAACTAAAGCAAAAGTAAACGATTCGACGGATTCCATCTTCAGATAGTGTACAGTGAAATGAATATGTAAAGTATATGTGTTTGGAGCAAGTTCTAACTGACTTAATGAACACATGTGAGCCATCTGCCACAAGAGCTTACATTAACACTGAATTAGCTTATATTAGTTGACATTATTATTGTTCATTTCACAGAATTCCACTTTCCTTTGCGATCCAAAACATCTACATAGCTAAATATTTCCCTTAAATTCTTATATTACGCAAAATTGACTCTTATGAGCTTTAGGTCATGTTCTAATGCTGAAGAATGGAAAAAACAGGATAAAGCCCGTTTCCCGTTTATGTGACTCCCGTGACTGCGATGACGGACTTTTGCACTGCAAAGGTCTCGTCAGACTCGTCATCGACATTGAGCGACTCTCACCTGGCAAAGCTTGTTCCCTCTGGACACCAAAACATATGTGCTGCTTTGTTCACTGTGCACATGGCCTCCCACTTGTCCCGAACGCAACGGAAAGCATGGAATTTCTTGTACAAGTCATCGTTAAATATGCATTTGTGCTTCGGTACGTTGCAGACTGACCGAATGTTTGTGTCTCGCTCCTTCTGAGTGCAGAGACACATGTACAGACCTGTTTGGTCACGCTACGCACAGCAACCTACATTCGGTTTGTTGATTAAAATTAACGTAATCGATGAAATTCTTAATGATCAATTATCGATTAATCAACTAATCATGCCCATCCCTATCTGGGACTATACGGGAACCAGACCGAGAATGAGACCGGGACCAGACCGGGACCAGACTGGAGGCTCTTAGAGCCCACGGCAGGGCCAGAGCTCAAAGCTGAGGCTTGGACCCCGCGGAGGCTTGGAGTCAAAGCTCGGACTCCGCTCTGGTCCCACTCTGGTCTCGGACCTGGATCAGTCCTGGTTCAGTCCGTATGCGGTGCAAAAGTCTGGCATCGCAGTCACAGAAGTCACGTAAAAGAGAAACGGCCGTTATCAGTTTTTTCCATTATTCATTTAAACACAAAATCGAAAACTGAAAAGAAGAATCGTTATCTATTTTTTTCATTTTGGTTTTGGAGACAAATAATGAAGAAAACCGTAGTTTTTTTCATTTTCTTATTTTTGGATTTATACTGAAAAACGAAAGAACGAATGATACACAGATTAATAACAGAGTAGCTGTTTATACATGACTCTAGGCTCTGAATATCATATATACAGTAGGGGGCCCCTGCTCCAGCTCTCCATCAGTTTAGGGGTCCCTGGCCTGAAAAACGTTGAAGACCCCTGATCTAGCAACTGTTAATGTTCCCTTTTGTTTTGCTTGTTTTGGTTTGGGTCTGATGGTGGAGGATGTCAGTGATGTTCTCCGTGTTCACACCTTAGGGTAGTTCAGTGGAACATGAATAATAACTTACACCTTACTATAAACAACTAGTGAGTGTTAGTTTGTCCAGTTTTTAACACAAATTAAAAGAAACACAACTACAGATATGTTTGGATGAGTAAAAAAAGTCTGCACAGTCTGATATTGTCTTAAACAAACAGAAAACTCTCTGACCTTTAGGGCCCTTGACCAGTTTGATGTCCAGGACTCTGTCGCTGAGGCTGCGTCTGCGTCTCACACAGAGTCTGACCAGGCCCCCCGCGTCCTTCAGCGCCTCCACCGCTCCACTGTGGGTCACCTCACGCACGTCTGTGTCATTCACTCGCACGATACAGTCGTTCACCCTGCAGGGGGTGACACAGTGTGAACGTCAGAGCAGGGTTTACAAACAGATGTACTGATAACTTTCCACAGCAAGTTCACAAACTCATGAGAATCCATCTTGGCCAATCACAGAGCAGCACCGAGCCAAAGATGAATCACCCAAATGAAGCAAAACAAACATTGAGACGCTGACAATATGTACTTGAGTTTATTTTAGCATCAATACAGACGATTTAGTTTGTGAAAATGTGCAGAAGGTAAGAGCTTTATGAGAGTTTTGTGGACAGGGAAGATGTCTGTCCTGATTTTTTTGCAGTATCAATTAGGGATGCAACAATATTCGATACACGTGTTCATTTGATACACGTGTCGATATGCACGTGTCTCCATGTGCGCTGTGTTATTTGTATTTTGGTCCAACAGGAAAACAATTCTCTTGGTGTTCTCCTCAGATGCAGCAGGAAACAGCTCCACAGAGACTTACAGTTGAAATATTCTAACAGAGGAGGGTTTTATCTTTCAGTCACTTTTTACTTTACATTGATAGACCCAGGAATGACAAAGATATTCACTTTTAAATACTTAAGAATCATTTTTGGCTTTACATCGGCTTTAATCAAATGTGCGCGTACACAGACCCGTGACTCTCGATATACACGATCTCTTTCTGAGACTCATAAGTTTAGTCGGAAAATGGCCTGTTGAGACATTTCTATGTAATATTATGTCACCAGTGACATGGCTTTATGGCTTGTCTGTACGTTCTCCATGTGCTCCTGTAACCCAGGTATTTTCTGTTCCTGGGCCTCTCTACCTAATAGTTTGGGCGCCGTTGTTCTCAAATATCGCGAGACTTCGCACACGTATCGTGAGACTAATTGCACCAAGCTCTTTCAACATGGCTGCGCGCCTGCTACCATTCACTCATGTGTTGTGTCGGGGCTGGGTGTGACTGAGCTGCTGCAGGTAGAAGATTATTGCTCTAAAAACTCACTGTTTCGTTCTAAAAGTATATTAAAGTAACACTTATGCCATCAACTTCCCTAGATGCCTCTTTCTTTTTTGTGCTTATATTGACAACAAATAATGATTGATATGACCCTGTTAAATTGTTAACTTAAATAATTTAAAATGACATATTACCTGTTGTTGGAAATATTTTACAATGGAGTACTCTTGATATTGACTAATACTGGTACATGTACATGAATGGATGGAATAATGGTTCTGATTTATTATGACAAAATTGTTATGATGTTTGGAAAAATGTTTTATAGTGACTTGTTCCTACTTAAATAATTGTATTACTCACTGCTGGTCCTGTTTTGCACAGGCCAGGTTCCGAAACTGGACTTTCCCGAAACTGAACTCTACAGAAACTGGACTCTCAGACACTGGATGACGAGCTAAGGCCTAGAGACCGAATCAAACTAAGAGTGCAAGCATCTGCCGGTGTGGTAGGAGGCGTAGCAGCCGCTCAACCCCACACACACACACACACTAGCACACCCACTGCCCTAACCATCTCCGGAACTCTCTCTTTTTTTGCCTTTCACATGACCTTCGTGTGGATTATATTAACTTTTGCTGCTGCTCATTAGCACTTGGACTAAGGACTGTAGCTCATTTAATCCCTCATAGACTCTGAACTTAATCAGATAAATGTGCACATCTGTAAATATTGTAAATACTGTCTGTTGGTACACTGTATATAATAACACCACAACTAAGCACTACAATCGTGTGTAAGTGTCTTCATTAAACACCTCACTTCCCTCCGAGCCAAACCCTGTCTTCTAATCTAGCCTATTACCATTACTATTACCATAATTACTACTACTACTACTATACCTCCTATGGTGGCATTGTATAAGTGCTACACTCCAGTGATGTCAAAAATGCACTTTTTAAACGTTTGACAGTGGTCTATAATGACTGTTTGATAATATTACTGAAAGTGCTGAGGTTCTGTAGCGCCAGTGAAATGTTTGTAAATTGTGGTGTGAGACCCTTTGTTGTCACAATCAGATGTTGTATTTATTAATTTATGCGTAGAGCCATGAATCTGAGCAATCGAACCATTGAAGCTCTAGTGTAGAGGTGTCCAACTCATTTTGGTCCAGGGGATCAGAAAACTCTTGGCATATAAACCCCAAAAATAACAATAAGTTCAAATATTTGTGCAGAGAAACGCAAATCTATTACAGAAATCTTTTTTAATTGATGAACTCTTTTTTTTTTTTTTTTACAAAACAAAACAACCTGAAACTTTAAGAAAAATAAAATTTCAACACAATGTTTTAACATGAACTTGTTTGTAAATAGGAATAAGTCCATTTTTGTTGTAAAATCCTGCACTCGGCTCCACTTTTCTCATGTTGGACATTTTGTTGATGAGGGTGTCACAGTCAACAGTCAAAACGATCGTCCTTTAAGAGCGTTTGGAAAGAGACAAGACTTCATTTATGCTGCTCTGGTGGGAGGGGCCACGTACAGAGGCGTTGGAGACACTGCTATGCTAAGCGGCGCAGAAAATTACCAATATTTTAATAGAAAATATAATTCAAATATTTTAGTAGAAAATCAGCTGAGGGCCATATTAAAAGTCTTGGAGGGCCAGATTTGGCCCCCGGGCCGTATGTTTGACACCCCTGCTCTAGTGTGTCTTTGAGGAGCTCTGTCAGATTCTCCTCTGAGCTGTGGAGACACTAGCGTCTTGTCTGTACATTATAACATGCAGGCCCGTTTCAAGGTATTTGGGGGCCCTAGGCAAAGGGGAACCTGGGGCCCTGACCGGCAAAGACCCTATGGGCACCTACCAAATAACATTAAGACAATACCAAATGTTTACAGTGTAGACACATGTACACATAACTTCAAAAGACAATCAAATAAATGATTATGACTGAACCTCTAGTTGATTCTATTCTAGTGTTTCTCACAAAACACTTGTTTTGCATTCCTTTGCAGCCTCTGTACGAGACACTACGATGAAAGCTATGCCACCCTCGCTGAAACTAACACATGAACTAGAACCCTGCATAAAATGAC